GGGTGGGGGGGGGGGGGGGTGGGGGAAGAATATATCAGTGTATTTCAATTTCTTAAATCTCTTTTATTTAGAGGTTTACTTATACTTTGTTCACTCACTTATGGTGCATACATTTAAGTCAGTAATGGGATCTTCACTTATCAGTTTTTACATGAATGTAATGTGGTGGCCACATTAGACAACAGACAGAACATTTAGTTCCTTTTGTGGGGTCTGAGTTAAATGGTTTTACAACTCTTGGCTTACATATTTAATATCACATGAACTTTTGTTTCCAGGGGTCATCTGCTGGATTGGTCAATGCTATGCAACCAGCCTGCAGCAATGCAGCATCCGCAGATTCAATGTTGAGTACAAAAACTGAACCAATTGTTTGTTTTACGGCAAGGCAATCTCAATCAAACATTTCATTTTCTGGTGTTACCAAAGATAGTGCTGGTGACTATCAAGAAGACTGTGGTGCTTCTTCAATGCTTCTCATGGGAGAGCCTCCCTGGTGTCCTCCTTGCCCCGAGAGTTCTCTGCAATCTGCTAACCGCAGCAATGCTGTCATGCGCTATAAGGAAAAGAAAAAGACCCGGAAGTAAGTTAATTGTAATGAATCTATTTATATAGCCCATGTTGTTGGTCGCATATTACTGTTTGTTCTTGATTGACATAAAAGTTGTGGCAGCAACCATCCAGTGTCTTTGTTCTGGTCTGTACATGGGACTTATAATTTCACAAAAATGGGAAGAATATGTGGTTTTAGTCCCTGTACTTTCAGTCAAACGTGATCAAAGTCTTTTTACTTAATCTGGTCCTCAAACTTTAAATATTTGGATTTAGTCCCTCCTCAAGTCAAAATTGTCGCTAACACCAATAGAGGGGACAGACTAAATCCACGTGTTTTTTAAAATTTGAGGATCAAATTCATTGATATTGAATTACATGGACCTTGACAATATTTGACTGAAAATATAAGGACAAAACACATTTCCCAAAAATAATAGCAACCAATTATCCAGTTAGATGAGGTCTCTATACAGGGACAGGTGGAAGGAGGGAGGGGAATTCCTCAATTGTTTTTTGATTTTTTTGAAAAATACATGTGTAGATTGTAGCTTTATAAATATATTATAAAAAATCTCCGGTCTTGTGTCCCACTAATACAATTTTGCATGTTAAAGTTTGTCCACTTTTGCCCTCCTAGATGTGTTCTAGACCTGTCCCTGTCTCTATCGATCATTTTTCAGGTGACCAAACTACCTTATCCAAGTTTTTGTCATCTTGTCCTCAATAAGTGTTCCTAAATCTTTTATTATATTTCCACTCATTCAACTGAACATCTTCAACACTGGTACACATTTTTTTTTATTATTATTATATTACCATAGAACATTGATTTTATCATCTCATTGACCAACTTGATAAGCCAAGTTATACCTTTCTTCTCTACTCACAGTTTCCAGTTCTCTGAAATGATAAGGTAGTAGACTAGTAATGATGAACAAAATAGGTATAAGAGATTTCAACAATAAATTAACCCACTAGTTAAATGGTCGTTGTTTCCATGCTCAAACTTTAGTTGGTTGTTGTATGTATGTGGCACTCATGCTGTGATGTTAGATAATTAGATTAGATCTAATGAATACATAATCTTCTTCTATCTTTATGAATGCGTTCTGCATAATGTGATCTACCAATTAAGGATATCCTGTGACAAGTTTCTTCTGTTTGGGTTGCCATCTTTGTTGCTGAGCAATATAACTATTTGCTAATTATTGAATTTGGTTTAATTATAAATTTTAAAGTTTATTTGCTCTTTAGGTGATTTAACATCGGTTGTTATCTTATTAGGTTCGAGAAGAAAGTAAGGTATGCCTCTCGCAAGGCTAGGGCCGACGTCCGAAAGCGTGTGAAGGGCCGGTTTGTTAAAGCCGGTGAAGTCTATGACTATGACCCTTTGAGCCAAACCAGAAGCTGCTGAGTGTACAACTTTTAACCATGTCCTATAAAAGGAAAGAAACACTCGTATAGTTGCAAAAGAAAAAGTAACTCTTACCTGAAAAAATGGATGAAATTTGATGCATTGTTTCTCAATGCAATGACAAGCTGTCTGATTTTATCACAGGGCCATAAGGGGAAGAAGGTTGTAATCAGGCCCTATCCAAATGAATTGACAGTGTAAGCTCAGGAGCACATTGTGTGTCCTTCACTGCAATGGACACATCCCAGGTGACATGAAAGAATCACAAATTGCCCCCCTTCAGGCAATGTTTCATGAGATTTGCTTAACATCATGCCAAATCCTGCTTCTTAATTCTAATCTAATGCAACATTCTTTTTTAAGTCCTTTGATCTTGCTCATAGTTACTTTGTCATATTTTATGTCAACTCCTCACTGATCCTAAGTCACATGTACAAGTGCCTATGATAAGTGGCTCAATTTGATAATCCTAGACAATCTACACTGTTGTAGGCTGTAATATTTTGTCCCTCACTCTTTGCCATGTATAGTGCATAATTGCCCAACAGTTCCTTAGGTATGACAAATTGTAAATTGAATTCCAAGGTTATTTATGTATAGAATAGTAGGATGCTATTATGTTGATGGTCCCAAACATTCTGTATTGGACATGTATCATGTATCCATAAAAGTTTTGTTTGTATTTTATTGAGTGCCATGGATTCACTTCAATTACATGGCGTTTTTACTTCAACTGTAAGCCACTTCCAAAAAATAAAGAAACCCTGTTATAGAAGAATCTTATTCGATTATGCATGAGAAATCGATTAGTAAAAGATGTACAAGTGTACATTTCTCGAGTTTTTTTTTTTTCCTTCAATTTTATGATCTGTATTATTTCTCTAACGTATTTTGAGATAAATGCTTTACCACTTATTTATTTATTTTTTACTCTTTTCTGTCCTTATTATAAGGTATAGTTTATAAGAATTTTTTTATTCTTTTTATAAGGCATCTTATAGTTTATAGAAAGGATTAAATTAATTTTTTTGTTTGTCATTATTAAAAATTGGGAGAATGTGTTTTTTTTTTGTCTCCAATAGACATTTATTATTTGTGTTGGTATTTGGTGTATAAATTTTGATATGAAGTATTATATCTTTTATGAAAATTTAATGATAAGTAAAAAATAAAATTAATAAATCATGATTTTGTTTTATAAATTTAATAGAATCAATTAATATAATTACTTATATTAATTCATATGATTTGGTTAAAAATGTTTTATAATAAGAATTGGATGAACTATGAACTATTTTTTTTATGTCGAAATGGTCTTACACAAGAATCATAAATTGAATTATTTTTTGAGGTACATGAACCATATATGAATTAATTTTGGTAGCTGTTTTTGTTCCTTAACAATTTATATTACATTTATGCAATTTATAAGGGACCGGATAATTTGAGAAAATATATTTTTATTGTTATTATATATATATATATATATATATATAATTATAAAAATGTAACTTTATTTTTTTATATGTTTGAAAACTATATAATTATAAAAATGTTACTTTATTTTTTTAATTGTTTGAAAACAAGATTTTTGAATATTATTTTTCGTACAAATCTTTACAAATAGGGAAGGAAATGAAAATACGATTATTTATAATTATTTGTGAAAATAAATAAAGTAGAAAATATTTTCTTCAATCAAATAGATCTAATTTCATCATTTTCGTAGTGTTTGGTTCAAAGTTAACCACATTATTGTGTTATTTTATGGCTCTACTTTCGTTGGCATTATTAGCAAGATTCTGGACTTACTACAACTTTATTAAAGTTGTATACATATAGTTAATTTTGATATAATTTTAAAACATGTAAAATTATAAGAAAAAACATGCATATTTTTTTATAAGATTTTTTTTTTAATCAATTCTTCATAAGAATTTGGATGAGCAGTTAAATTAAATAAAATAGAAAGAAGAAAATTTCTAAGTGTGTTAAATATAATTTTAAAAGAAAAGTAAGAAAAAACAGATTATAATTTATTTAAATATGAAAATGATATTATATAATAAAATTACGGATATTTTTTTTAATACTAAAATATGTTTTAACTTTTAATGATAAGAATTTTATTTACTGTTGGAACAGTTCATTTTATTTTTTTTAAACTGTCCATTCATTTCATTGGTTATTGTCACATCAAATTCTGTCTCAGGTAATTTTTATATGCTGCATTACACCAACCTAAAGAGTATATTTGGACAAACCAAAGGAAAAGCTTTTCTATTTATGAACTAATAACGTTTTACTAAGGAATGTCCTAAATTAAAAATAAGAAGTATATTTAAAGTAACAAAGTGAAGGAGGTAACACTTATACTTTAATATGCTAAAAAATAAAAAATAGTTTTATGAGTAAAATTATTAATATATAACGAGGAATTTAATTAAACACTATAATACTATTAAGGAACCAGTTAAAAATATTTAAAATAATAATAAACTACAAGTTAAAAATATTAAAAAAATTAGTCACTCATCCAGGAAAAAAGGCTAAATCTTAATCGATTAAAATATTTTTTTAGTTTTTAAAATTTTACTTATTTTATCTTTAAGTTTTTATAAATTAAAATAGACATTTTTAATTTATATATTTATTTTTAGGAATCAAATTTTAGTCTTAAAATATATATTTTTAGTTTTTATACTTACAATTTTTTTAGTCTGCTAATTTTTTTTGTAACACTCTATCATTTATATTAATATGATAAAAGTCTTCAACTTCGTAAAAAAAAAAATACTTCAATAATAATCATTAGACGTGATACACGAAATATTGAAATACTAATTTAGGAGATAACAAAATATAAATTCATCATTAAAATACAAAGTTGAACAAATCAATACAAAGAGACAATTATATGACTAAAAAAATCTATAATAAATTATAAGAACTAAAAAAATTAAAAGATAAATATAAAAATAAAAAAATATTTTAAATTATAAGAATTAAAATATAAAATAAGTGAAACTAAAAAAAATAAAATAATAGCATAGAAAAATAAGAAACAATGAATTTTTTTAATATATTTTAGAAATATACATTTTTCATATTGATGTATCATAGAGTGCATAACCGAATAAAAAAATTGGGTGCTATAAGCATAAATTCAGGCAGTAAATAAGGATAAAGTATAAAAATCCAAAATTGAAAACATGTCATGAAACACTATCACTTCTTTTAGTTTTAAAATTAAAAATGGTTAACTTTATCCTTGACTCCGGAAAGATCAACATAAATTATGAGTCTACAAATTGGTTCTCGTAACTTGTTTGTCCCTTTCTCATTTTTGTAATCGTTTCTTAACTATTTTTCCATTATATTATGAGTTTTTTCTGATAAAAAATTTAAAAAAGAATGTTAACCGTGGTTAAGGAATGCAGGGAAATAGAGTGTAACCATGGTTAAGGCACTGGTTACTGTGTTGCCAATAATGAATCCCTGAGATGGTGGGGTTCTTCTTCTATCTATAAAGCAAAGAGAGAAGATTTTACGGATTTTCCATCATTCCAGAACCGTAATCTCCAAACCCCACTTCGTAAGTCTCATCAAAATGCATTCTTTTCTTCTGGGTTTTCAGTTTTCTGCTCTAGGCCATCTAGGTTTTCTGTGTTGTGTTGGAAATTGCTAGATCGTGTGCTGGAGTGGTGTTCTATGGACTTGTAAAGTTCTGTTTTTTTTTTTTTCTTTCTTTTTTCCTCTTTCTTTTTTGATTAAAAGGTTATTTTGATGTGTAATTCTAATCTAAAGTTTTCTCCCTGAGGGTTTGGTATGTGTTGGATCTCGTTGTTGATGAAGAAGCCAATCAAATGCTTGTTGTTTAATTTCGTTTCCTCAATTTGCAATCTGGAAATGTTTGCAGCAAATTACTTGCTACTTTCTATTTTGACTTGTTTGTTTGTATATTGGTTTGATTTTTCTTCTAATTCAGGATTAAGGGTTTGCTGGATTTAACCCATTTTTTCTTAGTAGCCGGTCTTTTCCCAGAGAAAACATATATAAATATCATCAAATTCTGTGTTTCTTGCAATTTGTTATGTCATATACTTTCATATGAATTTCTTTTAGGTAAGAATAACTTGTGATAATCAAATATTATAATAGCTTTATAGTCAGGAATCAGGATTTAAGCGTATGTTCTTTCTATCTATTATTGATTGAAATGATAATTTACCATGGTATTGAGGAATCATTTTCGTAATTTTGTTTGAGTATTTAATGTTCTAATCTTTCCTTTAATGTGTTTACAGGTCAGATATTAAGAAGAGACCAACAGAATTTCCATACTTGAAAACTTGACATAGCAATCTTGTTTTTTGGTTCCCCATTTCCATGTTTGTGGATTCTTCCTGATTCAAAGGCAATTTGTTGTTCTATTAGCTCAGTTTTGAGGTTCCACAGTTGCAACTTGCAGCACAATTGTAACTTGGTATCCCTAAAGGGCTCTTAGCATTGATCAAAATGGGCCTCTCAAGTCTCCCAGCACCATCTGAAGGAGTATTATGTGTCCTTCTGGTGAACACTGTATTGTCAATTTCCATATTTAAAGGCATTGTTAGGACAATCCTACACATTGTTGGCATCCACCTTTCATCATCCTCCACTTCACCAGATCCCTCACAAACCCCACCTGAGTCATTTGAATTCCATCTCAGTCCGTCTGAGAGTTACATTGAAGAGTTCAGAAGCCGGACACCAACACTACGGTTTGACAGCGTGTGTTGCTGTAAACACCCTGAACATGACTGCTCTGTGTGTCTCACCCGGTTCAAACCCGAATCGGAGATAAACCGCCTTTCCTGCGGCCATCTCTTCCACAAAGTGTGCTTGGAGCAGTGGCTGAACTACTGGAACGTTACATGCCCACTTTGCAGGACTCCCTTGATGCCTGAAGATGATGCATCTTGCTTTCAGTAAACAGAATAAGAGTTGGTTTGGATATAAGCTTAGAATAACTTTTGAGAATTTTTCAACTGAAAATAACGAGTTTATTTAAGTAGAGGAATTCTCTAGAATTCTTCTAAACTTGTATCCAAACAGATTCTAAATGAGTCTGGCAGGAAGAGAGTTTTCATGTACAGTGTAGTGTACATATTCACGAGGTTTTGATGTTCATGCATCTGAGTTCTGCCACCTTTTCAAGTTTTAAACTTTTTGACTTTTATGGTCTAGAGTTTGTGGAGGGTTTTGTTTTCCCTTTTCTGTCTGTGCTCTTTGGCACAAATGAGGGGGTATACTTTTTGCTTGCATATTATGTTTACTCATAATGCCCACCTTTGGTTGGACTTCAGAGCCTTAATTCTATGTTGGGCATTTTGATCCTAATTTGGAAGCATGGATTGTAGAATCCATTTGTTTTGCCTTTCAAACTCTTATCACCATGTATATATAGTGTAGTGTGTAAATAGCTGTGGTTGGCAATAAGATTAAGATTCAATTATAACTAAACAATACAAACCACCAATGCCTTTAATTTTGCCATATACCGAGCATAGCTTGTTTAATTGTGTTTTGGGTTTGAGTTCTATATATTGACAGTGTAAAGAGGTCAAGGGGTTTTTTCATTGTCACTTTATAATTAATTGTGGATAATAACTTTAAAGATAATTATCATGAAAGTCAGCTAGCTTATCATGCAACTTGTCTTACAAGTTGCGATTAAATAATGTGTTATTTATTTATTTATTTTTACATACTATTAGTATGTAATGTATAGTATTTGCTCTATCTTTTTTACATTATTAAAATCGAGAAGATATATATCAGGATTCAGGGTCATGATCACAATATGTTGGGGATTAGTTTGGTGATAATTTATAACTTATGATTTAAGTTGAATGATTGAAAGTTTTTAAATTGATTGATTGAATTGATATTTAGGAAGATGATCTGATAATAATAACTTATTTGATAAATGTAAAATAACATTAGATGATATATTTAATTAGTTAAGGTAAAATAAATTAATGAGCATTGAAATAGAAGAAAAAAAAATTAATAGTTTATGAGTTAGTTTATTTTCATAAGTCATTAGTTTAAATTAGTTTGAAAGTTAATCTACTTAGCTTTTAAGTTTTTTTTAATGTCTTTTCAAATACATTGTTAACTCTAAACAACTATCTTAAAATCACACCATCAAAGAAAATTTTTAATTGGTTAACATGAGTTTATAATTTCATTTTATTTTTGTCTTCAATTTTTTTTAGATGATTGTATTCTTAAATATTTAAATATTAAAAGTTAATTGCTTAAATAAGTTAATTATTTTAAACTAGTCAAATTTTTAAAATTTAAACACTTTTATTACTTAATTTAATTTTTTATCTTAAAATAAAATATAGAGGTATATAGTATTTTGACTCCATTAATATTTATTAAACAGTTATATTTATATTTTTTAAATAAGCTTTATGAAAATTTTGAATATAACACGGTACGGTATTGGATCTATGTAACTAACCCTACTCCTATGTTTCCACTATTATATCATTTGACTCTCTACCATACCATCTAAATAAGGCCAATTACTCTTGCAAATTACTTTCAAATACATAACAATCTTGCTAGTTCATTTCAACTCATAAAAGTGGATTATAACGTTTTTAATTTATGCTTCTAACTTTATCTTAACTTATTAATAACATTTAATTGAATTTTTTATTAGATGCATTGGAAGTAGAAAAGTGGTGTGCAAAGAGTTGGTTCTTACTTGGGACAAATGGTAGCAAACATAATATGTCATTGCATGCTGAGAAATGTTATAAACACATTGGTTTAATAGAGCAAGAAACTAAAGCTTGGGATGGATGGAAGTGAATGAAAGCGAGTGAGGTATTTGATATCCCAAGCAAAGTAAAGTGAATAATTAAGTATGAATGTAAAAGTGAGTAGGTGTGAAGGGTCAATAATGAAAGATGCATTGAGTTGGAGCATAATTGTATGATGTTAATGGAAAGATGCCACATATGTGGTGGTCGTGGCCACACAACAATTAACAATTCAACCACCTCTCTTACGCCGACACCGATTACGAACCTATAACCGCCACTTGTTTTCTCTTCATTGGCCACATCAAATTTACCTATTATTAATTTATTATCATATCATCATTTCTTTTTCTTTTTTCTTTTTTCACTCCCATCTTTTCTTGTCAACATGGATGGAAAAGTACAGTTCTTGACTCTTGCCTTGACTACACTTTTTTATTAATCACAATCTCTTTTGCTCACGGAATCTGCATAGTTTTATTAAATTGTCCAAAACAAAATATTTAGTTTCTGAATGTATAAAAGTAAAAGAATAAAAGAGGTGTGAAACGTGTTGTGTTGGGAAGCGTCCATTGGCTCATCTTCGGCCATTACATACTTATACTGGGCCTGCAGATTGCCTCTGGTTGAGCCTAAACTCTTGTTGGGCTTGCCTAACATATTTGTATTTTGGTATTATTCGCCTTCAACCTCACTTCACTCGTTTAAATAAAGATGGGGTTCATATATACATTTTTTTTTTAATAAGTACACCTTTTTTTTAAATAAAAAAAATAGTTAAATTTCTAAAATATTCTTAATTTTAATTTTAATTTTTTTTTATTTTACACTTCTAACATTTAATTTAACATTTTTTTTCTTTTTCATACACTTTTTTTTTTTTTAGTTTTCACATATATCCTTTATTTTTCCTCCACCTCGCCTATTTCGATAGATAATTATAATTCTTTCAATTTTACATTAGTCTCTTCTCCCTCCTTCTTCAGTTTTGTCATTATTATTTTCTTTTTAATCTTTTAGTTTTCACGTGTACTTAAAACGTATAACTAATTTTTAACAATATTATATGTGCATGTGGCTTTCTCAATGATGTCGAAAGTACTGAGTTAAATGTGTTTTTTCTTCTTCGAGCACTTCCCCGTCTATACATCTAGAAAACACAACATCAAATAATTTTAGTATTCCAAAATTACTTTTCAAAATAGTAAAATTAGTGTTACTGAAAGCATACTTCGAAATTGAGTTTTTAACATACTTTCGAAAAGTACTTTTCAAAACAATAAAATTAGTGTTCAGAAAAGTATTTTTCAAAATTATTTAAAAGAACGTAATACAAGTTGTGATATTATTAAATTGGTCCAACTCACCCTAATTTGCTATTAATCAAGTTTTTTCGATTTAAGATTAGTAGAAAAAAAGGACATGTATATTATATACCATGATTCTAAAAATGGTGATGCCCTTTACTTCAAGTATTGTGATATTATTGGATTGATCCGATTCGATCTAATTTACTATTAATCAAGTTTGTTCGATTCAAAATCAATAAAAAAAATGTAAAACCTTATTCAACTCAAAGTTACAAACAAGTATTTTAAATAATAAATATAATCTATGTAAAAAAATAATTATAGCATGAAACATCTTATTAGATAGTTCATGGATGTAGTAACAAAAGAAAGTAGTTTTTAGGTAATTCATATGGTATAAATAATTATGAATTGTAGGATATAAAATATTAAATTCAACAGTTAAGATTGCTTCTCATCAATTTACAACTATATCCTTAGACAAAAAATGAAAAATGTTGAAAACTTTTGTGAAGTCCACTAGAGATTTTCGACCACCATAAGACATAAGAGGGGTTCATTTTCTCCCCTTTCCTCCCTCTCTTTCTCATTTTATTTTTTCCCTTTCTTTCTCATTTTGCTCTCTCAATTCGCATGCTACCACCATCCCTCTCCTTTTGCCCTCCTTTATTACTTTGTTTGCCCAACCGCACCTGCCATCTCCACCACCTTTAAGGTCCAAGAGTACCACCAAAGATTTTTATTTTTATTTTCTCGTGTTCACATCAATCACATGTGAAGAAAAACCCTCTGACAAGTTTCGGTTACAAACCAAGATGTCCCCCCTATGAAGGATTTAGCAGAAAGCAATTGTTGTTGACATATTTTTTTTTTCTCCTTCCCATCAAGGTTGAACGCCAACGACATTGAGACAATATTGTTCTCGGAACCTCAGTGAGACATTGTTGCACCAAAGGGAGAGGCTCTGGTTGGTGGTAGGTTAGTGGTAAGGAGGAGAGTGAAAGTGGAATAATGGATATTTTAGGCATTTCACTCTCAATGTTTGATAAAAAATAAATTAAAACATATTATTTTTATATTACTTATTTATTATAATATTATTTCTATAGCAAAATTCAGAATAAAAAATGATGCCACACTAGTGAGGCATTTGAGTTACTACTTCGTTTTAGAGGCTCTCCCTTACATATATCGTATTTTCTCTTTTATACAAGCAAACTTAAAATATTAGGATTTAATTTTTGTATAGTTTAAAATAGATTTTTAATTTTGTATTTATATTTTTTTAGTCATTAACACTGTTATTATAACTAAATATGATATAGATGAATCTTTTCGAGAAGGGAATAAGTGTGCTGCTCTATTGGCTAGGCTGGAACAAATGCGAGGTCTAGAGGTGGAGGAACTTGTTTCCCCTCCACCTGAGGTAGAGTCTCAGGTGTTAGCAGACATAGCTGGAAGTCCAATCGTCAGATTATAATTTGTTTTGTTTTTTTTTGCCAGTACTTTACCAAAAAAATATATATAGATGAACTGTCAAATTATTAATAATAGCATACAGATCATTGTTTACAAAATTATATACATCATTATATTTAACAAATTCAAGTCACTCACATAAAAACAATATTACAAAAAAATTAAACATAGACTAAAAATATTAAAAATATAAGTACATAAATTAAAAAAATTAAATTATAAGAACTAAAAAATAAAATCAGTAAAATTATAGAAATTAAAAATATATTTGAACCTAAAATATTCTACATAATCGATCTATAATTTTTTTAATTCATATTAAATAATTATTATAAAAATTAACAAATTTATTATTTATAATGCATTATAATTAAACCACATATCACTATTAAACCCTTAATATGAATAAAGTTGATTACGAAAATGGGTAATATGGAATGACAGAAGGCGCCAAGTGAAGGCATTATCCAGTGACGAGCACCACCTATCCATCCATGATCCATCTATCCACATTCCACAGCCATTTCTCACACCAACACCGTTTCCAGTGATGAACTCCTTCAACCTTCACACTATCACATACCCACCATAGCTTACCTTACCACTTTCCCCTTCTTCATGGCTGAACTCTCTTTTACGCACCTTTTTCGCACCTACACTCCCTTCATTATTCCGCCCAAGAGGTATTATCTTTTCACATTCGCTCTTTTTTACTTTTGTTTTTTTTACTTGCCCTTGATTCTCTGTTCGCTCATTCCGCCTCCCAGAAACCTTAATTGAATGAATGAATGAATCAACGTGTACCCAATTCCTGTTTGCTTTGAATTTCTCTTCTTAGGTGGAAAACAGATGGGAGGGGATGGAAATGGAGTTTAGATGAAAAATGTTTTCATTCTCACTCATTTTTGCTCTTTGCT